TCTCCCCTCTGGTGACCATCAGTATGTTTTCTATAGGTAAAGTTCTGTTTCTTGGTTTGTGAGTGTATGTCTCTTTTTCTCCTTTGCTCATTTGTTTTGTTTCTTAAATTCTACCTATGACTGAGATCATGTGGTGTTTTATTTCTCTGACTGACTTATTTTTTATTTTAAAGATTTTATTTATTTGACAGAGATCACAAGTAGGCAGAGAGGCAGGCAGAGAGAGAGGGAAGCAGGCTCCTTGCTCAGCAGAGAGTCTGATGCGGGGCTCGATCCCAGGACACTGGGATCATGACCTGAGCCAAAGTCAGAGGCTTAACCCACTGAGCCACCCAGGTGCCCCTCTCTGACTTACTTATTCCACTTAGTATTAAACTCTCTAGATCCATCTATGCTGTTGCAAATGGCAAAATTTCATTCTTTTTTATACTGAATAATATTCAATTGTGTATATATACCATATCTTCTTTATCCAGTCATCAGTGGATGGACACATGGGCTGCTTCCATAGTTTGGCTATTGTAAATAATGCTATACTATAAACACAGGGGTGCATGCATCCCTTTACATTAGTGTTTTTGTACTTTGGGGGATAAATACCAGTAATGCAATTCCTGGATTGTAAGGTAGTACTTTTTTAAAATTTTAATTCCACAGTGGCTGCACCATTTTGCATTTCCACCAACAGTGCATGAGGACACCATCTCCTTACCAACACTTATTGTTTCTTGTGTTGTTGATTTTAACCGTTCTGACAGTTGTGAGGTGAGTTTGTAGTTTTTATTTGCATTTCCCTGATGATGAGTGGTGTTGAGTATCTTTTCATGTGTTTGTTGGCCATCTGTATTTCCTCTCTGGAGAAATGTCTGTTCACGTCTTCTGCCCATTTTTAACTGGGTTATTTGTTTGATTAATTGGCCAGTGTATTACTATGTGGTTGGTAAAATCTTTGTGTTATTTCTACATCTTTTTATATTTTTGAGAATTTTTTCAGAGACTATGTTTGTAGTTTAAAAATTGGAGACTATTGAAAATAGTGTTCTATTTACAGCAGAAAGCATATTAAGTCTTCCAATACCATTGCAATGCTGTGATGTTCATCTTTACACATTTTCTATAGTATTTGTTGTGAACATTTAAATAGTATGTTATTTATCAGCAAACATTTACATCTCCTGTATTACATGGCAGGCAGTTTTGTAGGTGCTTCACAAACACTTATCATATAAACACTATTGTTATATTCACTTTACAATGGAAGAAACTGAAGTGTAGAGACATTAAATGATTTGCCAAAGCTAGAACAAAGAGAAATCTGTATTTAGATCTTAGTTATCGTTGTCTAACTATATAATTTGTTCACTTAAGAACATTATTATAGGGACGCCTGGGTGGCTCAGTGGGTTAAGCCTCTGCCTTCGGCCCAGGTCATGATCTCAGGTTCCTGGGATCGAGCCCCACGTGGGGCTCTCTGCTCAGTAGAGACCCCACTTCCCCCTCTCTCTGCCTGCCTCTCTGCCTACTTGTGATCTCTCTGTCAAAAATAAATAAAAATCTTTAATAAAAAAAAGAACATTATTATGGATTGTATCTTTCATCATTATAGCGTCTCATTCTTTAACTAAATGTTTACATTAGATCAAATGTCATCTGTTATTAATACTGTAGCTATTTCCCATTTACTTCACATGCTTTTATGTAGTACTTCATTGATTAGCTTTCTGGGCTACTTTAATTCAATCTGGGTTTTTAGATTTCGTGAATGAAGGACTTGGTTTGTTTGTTTACTACTGTAATGTAGGATGTATATCAGTGCTTTGTCTCTTGGCTTAATATACACAAATGTTGACACAAGTACATTCTAAATGTTATTCGCATATTTGAGTTTATTTCTTTAATAACATTTTATGATTTTGATCTTACTTTCCTTTTTTGCCATTTGTTGAGTTTTGACCTCTATTCATTTTTAGATCTTCTGCCCTTCTTATTCTTGTCTCAAGTAAATTAGAGAACATGCAATTTGGCTTTATTTCTATTTATAGATAACTTCATGAATGTTAATAATATTTTCTTTCCTTTTTTTTAAGATTCTATTTATTTATTTGACAGACAGAGATCACAAGTAGGCAGAGAGGCAGGCAGAGAGAGAGGGAGAAGCAGGCTCCCTGCTGAGCAGAGAGCCCGATGCGGGGCTGGATCCCAGGACGCCGAGATCATGACCTGAGCCGAAAGCAGAGGCTTAACCCACTGAGCCACCCAGGTGCTCCATTAATAATATTTTCATTCCCTTGATATTTTTGCATCCCATGAGAGGTTTGAAAATTAATATAAGTAAACTTTCTTGACTCTCTTTTTCTGTCTCCCTCTAGGTTATGGCTGGCATATGACAATAGTAATAATACTGCTTATTATGACAATGCTGATATTGATGTTGAATGTCATTTTTCCTTAGGCTTGCCCCTGTTTTGATGGTATTGGACATATCAGTGAGAGTTCAGTTACTTCATCATTTGGCTTTCATTATTCTGCTTATGAATCAGTAGCACATTTTGGTTCCCCAAGTTCTTGTTTTGAGTTTCTCATTTCACTAAGATTCATCTCCAGGTCTTTCCTTTTTAAGGTTAGAAGCTATGGCAGAATAATGGAAAATCTTTTGATTCATTCAGACATTTTAGTCTACAGAGCCCCAACCAAATAAAGGATTTTGCTATGCACGCTTGTTTCCATCTATATTTTGAGTTGTCATGCTCCTCAACAGAATTTCATTTTCTTTGGTTTGTTTGAGGTATGAATAGGTCATTTTGAATTTCTTCCTCTTATTTTCTGCCCGTTATTCCATAATCCCAATGAAATGAAATGTATGCCACTTTCCAGCATTTTCACTTTTTTTGATATTATATGCCTTAGTTAGCATGATTATAAATGATATTTATCCATGGATTTGGAACAATAGGTTTGTAAATATTCCATAGTTTCTTATTTTCTTACTGTATTTTATTTATTTTTTTTCATCTCAAAAAGCTTCAGAGAGGGGAATTATAAAAACTGTTACTCTGAGATATTTTGTGCAAGTCCCTTGACTATTTTATATTATATTCTATGTTAGTATTTGAAAATAACTTTCAGACTAAATTTTAAGTACTCATGTTATCAAGTATGAAATCAACTATTATAATTATTAATTTTTAAAGACCTCAAACATCAAGAAGTAGAATAGCCTTACAAAGTGGAAACAATTTATCATTCATTAGGTTGTTGCTTCATTAGGCTAGCCATTAGTTAACATTAAGAATGCATATGTGGCAATGATCTAATTATGCCTCATAGTATAAAGAGAAACACCACACAAAGATATTTAGATCACAAATGCCTGTGCTTCCTTTTACTGTTTTCCATTTCACCTCTGTTTTAAGTGACTCATGGATAAACCTGTCATTATTTCTTGTGGAAAATATGTTTAGAATATGCAAGTTAGGAACTATACTTTCTCCTTCCACCCACAGTATTCAATTAAATTTTAATTTACCTCTTTGTTTTATTGAGTCAGCAACAGAATGATAATGAATAGTGGCTCCTGAGTACTTACTTCATTCCCAGGTAGTGGTAGAGGTTTGGCATAGAGAAGGAGCAGTTTATACTATCTCTTATCTGAATGGTCTGGCAGATTCTACAATCTGGCATTCCTATTCCTGATGGTAGTTAAAAACTAAACACAGCATTATAAAAACACAAAAACAAACAAAAATGAGTTTTACATAACCTTAGGTACCTGTGATAAGTAAAACTTATCTGTATACTCAGGCTATGTTGACCTGGGACAATTTTTCTATAGGTGCTCTCAAAAATGTGAACTTTATAATTTTCATTATCAGTTCATTTCATTTACGGAGTTTCTCACACACACACACACACACACACACACACACACACACACATAAAGAAAAGAGAAGAGATGAGACAGTAGAAGAGAGAAGAGAAGAGAAGAGAAGAGAAGAGAAGAGAAGAGAAGAAGCAAGTCTTTAATTTTTTCAGCTTCTGACCTCAGAAATTCTCAGAGGGATACTACATAAAATGTGGAAATTAAAATACTAGTATAATTTTGAAGTCTCATGTCTGGAAAACAAGAACACTTCATTAGTGAATTTTGTGCAATAGGATATAGAGGAAGCACTGCACTTTACCCCAGCCATATGAAGAAAGAACTGTCTTAATGTCTGAGTATTGCTTTTAGACATTACTCATATTTTTTCACTGAAAACATTTTTGCAATTTTATTGATTATTACAAAATAATACATATAATAAAATTGTTGGAGATTGGGCAGTGGCATATCCTCAATTTTGCTTTTCAGCAGAATAGAACAAGAAGCATTTTTAGAAAGTCCCAACTCATTTTGCCTGTCATGTCTTGCTTAAGAGCAACTAATTAGCAGAAATGTTCATATCAAACATTTATGGCTAAACAGTATATTAAGGAATGTAGGGATTATAAATAGGACAAAAACATTTCTACTCATAGTGACTATACAACTGAATAAAATATAAAGATACAAGTTTCATTAAAATACAATTCAAGGAAGAAAATAAGAAACTTATCTGATTAAGCAATCTTCACCTTGAGGTTGCTTTGAAATTAGGTATTAATGAGAGTGTGAGGCATGCTCACAGAACAGAGAGTTTATTTTAGATCTGTCACTATAGAACGTTAGATAAGTATTTTCTGTGCCTTATTTTCTGTATATCTAATATGGAAATAATCACAATAATTATCTAATGGGTTATGAAATGTATAATATAACATCTATGAAGATGTTGCTTGAGCATTCCCCTCCCACAATTTCAACTGGAACCCAGAATCCATACAGAAGTTGGGTGATGCAACACACAGGTTATGCTCCTTATATATACAAAACAAAATCCTCATTTTGTGAATTCATACCTATGTCCATGAGTTCAAAGTGTTTGAATCAATATCAGCTCTTTAAAAACAATGCAATATCAACAAATGCGCAGTGGCAGTATCGTAGCCAATGAGGTTTATCCGAGGCGCGATTATTGCTAATTGAATTGACTATTCTGTGGTCTTATTTCCCCTAAATCGAAAGTTTGAGTTGTATTAATGAATTTCTTGAATAGTTGGTAAATAATAGTACTAGCAGCAGCAGCAGTAACATTTATGAAATACGTATCATGTGGCAAGCATTGCATATGGGTTCTATGGGCTTTACATGTATCATGTCATTAAGTATTCATAGATACCATGAGAAAGAGAGATATTAGTCATGTTGCTTCTGTATGCATTCTTTGAATTTTTTCATTTAAAGTTATCTTTTTGAAGTTCATCCATATAGATGCCTGTAGCTATAGGACATTCATTTGTACATGCCAAATTGTTTTCCAAACTTACTTTTGCCAGTTACATTTTCACCACTAATACATGAGATCCGGGAGTGGCTGGATGCGGTCAGTTAAGCGTCCTGTTCATGATTTGGCTTGGATCATGATTTCAGGGTGGTGGGATCAAGCACTGCTTCAGGCTCCAAGCTCAGCAGGGTGCAGACTGAGGATTCTCTCCCTCTGCCCAGTCCTCCCGCTCAGGCATGGGCATATGTGCTTCTCTCCCTCTCTCAAACAGATCTTTAAAAATTAATAAACAAACAAACAAAAACAAACAAGATCCCTTTGCTCCATATACTTGTGTTTTATGTAGTGTCAGATTTTTACATTTTTGCCAACTTAGGGGTTGTAAAATACTTAATGGTGGTTTTATTTTTTAAAATTTTCCTAGGGACACCTGGGTGGCTCAGTGGGTTAAAGCCTCTGCCTTTGGCTCAGGTCATGATTCTGGGGTCCTGGGATTGAGCCCCGCATCAGGCTCTCTGCTCAGCGGGGAGCCTGCTTCCTCCTCTCTCTCTCTCTCTGCCTGCCTCTCTGCCTACTTGTGATCTCTGTCTGTCAAATAAATAAATAAAATCTTTAAAAATGAAATAAAATAAAATAAAATTTTCCTAACTTTTCCAACTTTCCAATGAAGTGGAATGATTTTTAAAATGTTATTTGGCCATTCATATTTCCCTTCTATGAAATGTCTGTTCTTTTCTTCTTAATATTCTTTTAATATTTGAGACTTTATATATTTTAAATACTTACTGCCAATTATCATTGCAAATACCTTATCTGGTTTATGGACTGACTTTCACTTTTTAAGGTGTCCTTTGAAAAGACTTAAAATTTCTTAATGTGGTCGAACTTATATTTCCCCACTTTTGGGTAGGACTTTTTGTGTCTATTTAATGGCATTATTAACTCATTGAGGCATATAGATGCTTCCCTACTCTTTACTCAACATTTTTTGTTTTGCTTTGCGTATGTACTTTAATTCCAGTAAAACTAAACCTGACATTATTGTTTGTGAATGTTGTTAAGTAAGAAAACAATTTAATTCTTTACCCATAAGAAACCATTTTCCCATTATTTAATAAACATACTTTCCCCACATATCTCCAATGCTACCTTTTCAGATATCAAGTTGTCATATATACCTGGTTCTCTTTTTGCTATCTCTCTCCTTTCTGTACGCTTAATTTTCTTTATGCTTGTCTCTAACCTAATTTCTATAGGCTTTTGAGAATTTTTGAAGTCTTATTGTTCCTTATGATATTATTCTTTAAATTTTCTTGGCCTTTAGTTTTCCTGTATAAAATTTAAATCAACTCATCAGTTTCCCAAAGAAAATCTAAAACTTGTGCTCAGTAACAGCATTGAATTATAGGAACCTGTGGGGATAATGTATGTTATTATATTATATTATCTGTTAATTAATTTTGTTAATTAATGTATGTTATTATATTATATTATTATATTATATTATATTATATTATAATGTATGGCTTCCTTTCAATGATCACAATACATCTTTCCATTTAATTACATCAATTTACAGCCTTTCAATAAAGTTTAAATTTTTCTCTATAAAATTTGTGTCCATATTTTACTAGGTTCATTAGTAAATATTACATACATATATAAACACGAATATATATAAAAGAAATGTGTTTTTTTCTGTATCGTACTATATTAATGTTGCCTCTGTATGAAAATTCATTTTCTTGTTTATTACTTTTTCACTTAGCCACTTAGCCACTTTGCTAAACTCTTACATTAACTATAATAATGAGATGGTAAATCCTTTCTCTGTATTTCTCTCTCTACATATTATAGATAGATGATAGATAGATAAAGATAAGATATATATATATTTATTTATCTTATATATCTTTATCTATTTATATATATATATATATATATATATATATATAATCACATAATCTTAACATACTTACCAGCTTTTCTTTACCAGCAAAGATTCTCCATAAAATGTTGAAAGATAGTGGGCATCTTTGTCTTTTTCCTTCTTCTAAGTAAAATAATATACTATTTCACCACTAATTTGGTATTTGGGGAATATTAAATAATTTTTGGTGAAAGCTTTTTTTTTTTTTTAGATTTTATTTATTTATTTGACAGAGATCACAAGTATTATTTAATTTAATTTTTGGTGAAAGCTTTTTTTTTTTTTAGATTTTATTTATTTATTTGACAGAGATCACAAGTAGGCAGAGGCAGGCAGAGAGAGAGGGGGGAAGCCGACTCCCTGCTGCTCAGACAACCTGATGTGGGGCTCAATCCCAGGACCCTGAGTTCATGACCTGAGCCAAAGGCAGAGGCTTAACCCACTGAGACATCCAGGCACCCCAATTTTTTTTTTATTTTTTATCCACCTTTTATAAGGGAGAATGCTAACTTTTATTACATAATTTTTTATCTTAGATTTTCCTTCTGTATGGGTTTTCTAAACTTGTTTCTCAAATCCATCTAAGTGCAGCTCTATGATTATAAACTTTCAGAGAAGATTTTTATTTTATTATTATTACTATTTATTTTCCCTTCCCAGACCTGAAGTAAAGCTAGTTTGTCCTGTGGTTTCACTTGGCTGACTGACATTTTCCCTTCTAGTTTATACTGCCACTGAAGCTGTGGTCCCTTCAGGAGTACCACCTTTTTGGTGGGGGTCTCAGATCTAGCTCTACAACTGTATGCAGGCTCTGGCCTAAATTCAGGCTACTGCCAGCCTCTCAATTTCTACTTTCCAGTCATACATTGTTTCTGCCAGGACCACCTTTTATATCCAGTTGCTGTAAAATTTTGAATTAAGTTCATAGTGGCTAAAATTTTTAGACTCTGCCAATTTTCCCTATTTTCTTTCTTTTTTTAAAGATTTTTTATTTTTTAGAGAGAGAGTGTATGCCTGCATATGGGTTGGGAGGAGCAGAGGGAGAGGGAGAGAAACAAACTCCCCACTGAGCACACAGCCTGGCTTCATCTCATGACCCTGAGATCATTACCGGAGCTGAAATCAAGAGTTGGACACTTAACTGGGTCACACACGTGACACTGATTTTCTTGAAGTCTCAGTGATGTGTTTAAAAGTGTATTTATTTATTGGATTCATTTTTTTTTAATACAGTGCTACATTAGTGTCTGGTATATACTATAGAGATTCAATATTTGCATACAACACCAGGTACTCATCACAAGTGTATACCTAAGCCCCATCACCTATTTTACTCATGGTCCTCTTCCACCTTCCCATCAGTTTGTTCTCTACAGTTAAGAGTCCATTTCTTGTTTTGTCTCTCTCCCCTTTTTTTCCCCTATGTTCATTTGTTCTATTTTTTAAATTCTATATATGAGTGAAATCCTATGGTATATGTCTTTCTCTGTCTGACTTATTTCACTTAACATTATACTCTCTAGTTCCATCCATGTCATTGTAAATGACAAGATTTCACTTTTTATGGATGAATAATATTCTATTATTTATATATCATTTCTTTATCTATTCATCAGTTGATGCTTCCAAAATTTGGCTCTAGTAAATAATGCTACTATAAACAGAAGGATGAATGTGTCCTTTTGAATTGGTGTCTTTGTATTTTGAGGTAAATATCCTTAATTGTTTGAAAAATGGCGGTTTGGAAAATGCCCAGTATTGTGATTTCTAGATCATTGGGTAGTTCTATTTTTAAATTTTTGAGGAAACTCCACCTGTTTTCCACAGTGGTTGCGCCAATGTTCATTTGCACCAAGAGTACTCAGGGTTCCTTTTTTTCCACATCCTCACCAACACTTGTCATTTCTTACATTTTTTATTTTAGCCATTCTGATAGGTATGAGGTGATATATCTTTGGGTTTCGATTTGCATTTCCCTAATGATAAGTGATGTTGACCATCTTTTCATGTGTCTGGTGGCCATCTGTATATCGTCTTTGGAGGACTGTAGTTCATGACTTCTGCCACTTTTAATTGGATTATTTGTTTTTAGGATGTTAAGTTGTATAAATTCTTTATATATTGGATACTAACTCTTTATTGAATTTGTCATTTGCAAATATATTCTCCCATTCACTAGGTTGCCTTTTAGTTTTGTTGATTGTTTCCTTTACTGTGCAGAAGGTTTTTATTTTAATGAAGTCCCAATGGTTTATTTTTGCTTTTGTTTCCCTTCTCTCTGGAGATATATCTTAAAAAATGTTGCTATGGCTGATGGTAAAGAGGTTACTCCCTGTGTTTTCTTCTAGTATTTTTATGGTTTTTATATATGGTGTGATAAAGTGGTCCAGTTTCATTCTTCTGCGGGTAGCTGTCCAGTTTTCCCAATACCATTTATTGAAAAGACTGTCTTTTTTCCATTGCATATTCTTTCCTGCTTTGGCAGAGGTCAATTGACCATATAATTGTGGGTTCATTTCTGAGTTTCTATTCTGTTCTATTGAACTATGTGTCTATTTTGGGGCCATTACCATACTGTTTTGATTACTACAGCTTTGTAATATAACTTGAGGTCTGGGGTTGTGATACCTCCAGCTTTGTTTTTCTTTTTCAAAATTGCTTTTACTATTCAGGGTCTTTATGGTTCCATATATATTTTAGGATTGTTTGTTTTAGTTCTGTGAAAATGCTGTTGGTATGATGGTAAGGATTATATTAAATGTGTAGATTGCTTTAGGTAGTATAGGCATCTTATTTTTATTTATTTTTTATTTTATTTTTTTATTATATTATGTTAGTTACCATACAGTACA